TGACCTTTTGTGGGCTGCCTTTCAACCCCCTGCCGCAGTGCCCGAGCCCGCCCCGGCGCCGGCGCCAACCCCAGAGCCCGCCCCGGCCCCCGCCCCCACACCGGAGCCTGTCCCCGCGCCAGCGCCTGGTGGGTGGCGGCAGCAACGCAGCCTGGCGGTTGGGACAGACGAAGCCGCGCGGCTGCATTTTTGTCTGCATGCCTGCTCGCCGGCTGGCTTGATGTGCTTGGTCCACCCACCTCGCCGCCGTCCTCCCCACCTTGTGTGTGTGCAGCGCCCGAGCCCGCAGACCCCCCCGCGCCTGTGCCTGCCCCCGCGCCCGGTGCGTGAAACTGCTGCCGCCGCCGCCTTACTGCGTGCACGCGCCGGCCGCTGCCCGCTGCCCAGCGCTGCTCTGCCAGCTAGCTCGACATGTATCCAATACGTATGTGGCCTTTGGCATGCAGCGCCCGAGCCCTCCGACCCCCCATCCCCGGCCCCAGCGCCTGGTAGGAGGCAGCAGCTTGGGCTTGCAGCAGGGGCAGGCGCAGGCGCAGGCTGCCGCCGCGCGCTTAAAGGATCGGGGGTGCACGCCTGCATGCCAGCCTGCTGGCTCCCCAATCCATCCACCTGCCCACCTACCTGACCGCCACCCTGCCCCACCCCACCTGCGTGCAGCACCCGAGCCGGCTTCGGAGCCGCCGACGCCAGCCCCTGGTGCGTGACAGCCCTGCCGCTAGCTAGCCTGCCTGCCTGCCTGCCTGCCTGCGCATGCTGTCCACCTTTCGATCATCCCATTTCCATTTGATTTGCAGCGCCTTCATCGCCGGACGTGCCTGCTCCGGCACCGTCTTCCCCCGACGCGCCCGCCCCCGCGCCCGATGCGCCCCCGCCCGACGCGCCGGCGCCGGCGCCCGACACCACCGCCCCCGCCCCCGCGCCATCCGACGGTGAGTGGGGCTGCCTCCCACTCAGTGCATCAGCAGGCGCGGTTCATTGCAGCCGCCTGCGGCAGCGAGGCCGTCCAAGGAGGGGCAGGGGCGCCCGCCGTCCGGCCAGCTGCAGCTTGCCAGGTGCAGCGCAGCGGGCCAGCAGCGCTTGGCAACGCTCGCCTTGACGCCCACCTTTCTTCTTTCTTGGTGTGCCTTTGGCTTGCTGTGCAGACGGCAAAGTGAACACATCGAGCCTGTCCCCCTCCCCCTCCCCCTCTCCCTCCGACTCACCATCCCCTTCGCCAGCGTGGGCCCCCGCATTG